AACATGGGCTTCTCTTGTGTTCTTATTGGGGACCTACCTTCCCCTCGGATGAACACCACATAGACTACATTGGGTCAAAGCTGAGAGAGCGGGCTGCAGACTGGCATGTGGGGCTCCACAATATTAGGGGCCCCGAGCTACGTGATGTCCGAGCTTTCATGTGGACTCTGCGGAGGCAGCACGAAGACCCCATGGAACTGGAGAAAGCACGTACTCGCCTGCTGAGCTTGAAACAAGGGAGCAGGCTGGTGCGTGAGTTTTTGGATGAGTTCAGTATGTACACTGTCAAGGTGCAGGGGTAGCCAGAGGAGGTACTGATCGAGCAGTACCGTTTGGGCCTGAATCATCAGGTGCTGGAGACCGTTCTGCGCAGTGGGAACCTGCAGACCCTGGCTGGGTGGATCCGGGAAAAAGGTGATGCTGAGAATCAACTCCACATGATCCGGCTGTACACTCCCAAGGTGACTCCGAAGCTCCAGGCGGAGAGGCGAAAGGCCAGTGCCCCAAACCAAAAGAGTCGGGGAAAGATCGACGGATGAAGCAAGGTGTGTGCCTGTGCTGCGGAGAGCCCGGCCACTGCGCGGCTTTCTGCCCAGCCACTCTTAACACCCCAAGGGGGAAAAGCACCAGAGTGGCGTAGCTTCGAGACTCCTACGAGAGGAGGGTGTGTGCGGCCGAAACAACCCCGGGCTCTCCAGTTGAGTGCACCTCTAGATGGAGCCTCATCCAGGGGAGACGAGGTGCCTCAGACGGCAGGAAAAGGCAGAGTCCAGCAGGTCCGAAAGCAGTCGGTGCCACGTTCGGTGAGCAGCACTCCCCCCTTTGTTTTTCGTGACTGTGTCAGTTGTGAACCCGGAGATGGGCACCCAGGTGAGAGTGAGGGCTTTAATAGACTCTGGGTGCGCCGGAGACTTAATCCGCCTGGCTATCGTTACTGGGTTAGGGGTCCCGGTACAAACCCCTGCCAGAGCCCTTTAAGCAAATGGCTGGCTCTACGATGAAGGAGGCTTGCAAATATCAGACGACCCCAGTGATCTTGAGAACGGGGCCCCACTGGGAACAATGGGCATTTGTGATCAATCCGATGGCCAGATTCTCCATGGCGTTAGGGAACTCCTGGCTCCGAGACCATGACCCGTATACACGGTGGAGCTCAGGAACCTTGCTCTTCTCTGACCCTAAATGTAATGAACACGACTGGAAGGGTGGGGAGAAACCCCAGTAACTCCACCGGAGCGAGCGTGTTTGGCTCAGGAGGAGCTTAGCTCCATCCCAGTAGAATACAGAGACCTCGTCAGGGTGTTTGAGGAGGAAGAGGCAGACAAACTCCTCCCACCCCCCACCGTAATGTGGACTGTGCCATTGAGATTCTGCCAGGGCATAAAATGCCTAAAGGGAAACTGTATTCCATGAGCCCCACAGAGGAGGAGGAACTGTGGAAGTTCATTGATAAAAACCTAGCCCGTGGGTTCATCCGCCCCGCCTCCTCCCCGTTTGCGGCTCCCGTCCTCTTCCGGAAAAAGACGGATGGGGGTTTGAGGCTATGTATGGATTACTGGGGCCTGAACTCGGTGTCCACTACTAATGCTTACCCCCTTCCACTGATTAAAGACCTTTTGATGGAGGTGGCCAAGGAGAAATTTTTTACTAAACTAGATTTGTGGGACGCTTACTTTCAAGTGTGCATCCGGGAGGGGGATGAGTACAAGACTGCATTTAACACCCCTTTGGGACAGTTCAAGTATTTAGTGATGCCTTTTGGGCTGCAGGGGGCCCCAGGGGTCTTCATGAACCTAATCAATGAAGTACTGCACCAGCACCTGTTTAATGGGGCGCTGGTTTATCTCGACAACATTCTTTTACATTCCCAAGACATGGACTCTCATGTAACATTGGTGAGGGAAGTACTCGAGACCCTCTATGAACACAAGTTATTTGCCAAACTATCCAAGTGTGAGTTCCAGAAGGAGGAGGCAGACTTCCTGGGCTACTGCATTTCCCAGAGGGGGTTGGAAATGGACCCACACAAGGTGGCTGATGTGATGGGGTGGGAAGCCCCCTGTACTAGGAGACAACTCCAATCATTCTTAGGCTTTGCCAATTTATACCGCCCCTTCCTCCCCAATTTTGCCCAAGTCATCCTGCCCCTCACTGACTTGTTAAAGACTAAGGGGAAGGGGCAAGAGAGTTCCAAACCGGGTGCATGCTTGGAGTGGACGGCTGAGTGCCAAAGCGCTTTTGTTAAGTTAAAGGCTAAGTTTGTTGCTAAGTTCTGGAAGGAGTTCCTACAAGTTCTAGGCATTGAAAGGGGCCTTAGCAGCACTCAGCACCTTAGACTGACAGCCAGACTGAATGGGTCAATCAAGTAGGAGAACAATTCCTTAGGTGCTTTACTAACGATCAACAGGACAATTGGATCAACTTGTTACCTTACGCTGAATACAGTTACAGCAATTCTGTTAATAGTTCTACCGGACTGTTTCCCTTTATTCCTTGCATGGCTATAAGGGGGCCCCTGTCCCCATGATGGGGACCCCCGACCCCCCCTGGGGATCTCCAGACTTGGTGTCAGGGTCTGAGTGACCACTGGTCTAACATCCAAAAGATTTTGGACAAAGCTAAAGCGGATTACAAAACCCAGGCTGACAAAGGCAGGGCTCCTGAATGGGACTTGCAGCCAGGGGACACAGTGTACCTCTCTACTAGGAACTTAAAGGGCCTCCAGCCCCGGAGGAAATTGGGCTGGAAGTATATCGGGCCTTTCAAAGTGTTGCGCAGAATCACTGATGTGACTGTTGAACCTGAGCTGCCTAAATCACTCAAAGATGTGC